CTAAGTGGAAACCCTTTCCTTTGGAATGGTATGTTAAAACATTATTGTTTTTTTTTTGTAAAAATAACAAAACTTGACACAAGGAAATTTTTGTTTATTGTTTAATATTTTTATTCTCAATTAATATTTAAGTACATACATAACATATTGTTATTTATTAGCGATATCACACTTTGTGCTATTAGCGCCTTCACTTAGTGCCGTCGAAATCCAAAGAGCTTATTGAATATCCAGTAAAATCGTCGATGCGCCGTTGAATACAGAATGATGATTCTGTTTTTACGCCGTTTCCGCCCGTAGTTTTTGTCACAGAATGTATTTTCAAGAGAAATTAATTAATCATCTGAATTATAAAAGAACATTTTTTTTTTTGGTAACAATTAAGTTTTTGTATGAATGTAAATGCTGTGAATATAAATAAACCCATAACGGGGGAAATGGAACAATATCTGGTAACCCAGTGAAAGTACCTCCCGCCTATTTCTATCTCAAAAGCATACGCGAATGATTTATCTAGTCAATCCTCTATCTACGTTTACACCTTAATTTTTTACTTAATACAAAATTTAACGTTTGGCGTGTTGCCAGCCATAAAAAAAATACCACAAAGAAAGGCCTATATTTTACAAAATAAAAGTCATTGAAGTGATTTTTCATTTTAATACACAAAAACATTGTTTTAAATTAAAATGTTTATTTAAATTATCGCATATCATGCATTTTGAATTTAAAATATAAAAAGGATCACAATATCGTTTTTTTCTTCACCATTTGCCTTGATTACTTATTCCGAACCTTCTCTGCAAATTTGACCGGTTATTGCACAATAACCCTGTATATCAGAATACAATTTTTGAAATCTTTCTTTTATATAATACCTGTCACTATGTTGAAATTGTTTTCCGTTTTGTAGACCAAATAAAGAGAAAAAAATTACGCTGATATTTTGTATCTTTCCCCATCAAGCTGACTTATTCGTGCTAGCAACCATAATATAGCTGCAACAAAAACCATATCCGAGGCATTATTGTCACACAATAATGCTTCGCATATGGTTTTTGTTGTCATGGTTGTTTTAAAAGAAGCCTACATGAATGATTGATTTAAAAAAAAGTAACAGTTTCTGATGTCATGCTCCTCCTTTTTAGTTTTATGCCATTATTCATTAAACTTTATTCCAGCTCCACATACAGGAAAAGGAAAGCAATTTAAATACTTGTGTCAAACTTCGACTTATTTACAAACCGCAGTATTTCCTGGAATTATTTGCCATTCCATATAAATTAAAACCAGTTTTCTAAACAGTTTTTGATTGGAATAAATAATAATTTAATATTACCAGTATGTTTAACTATCATACCTTTATATTTGATATAGTCGTTTTTGAATAGGATTAAAAATAATTAATTATTAAAACGATTACACGGACACGAACTATACTTCGGGGAGTGACTACGAGAATTCGACCGACCACATCTGCAATTATTAAGGATCTCACCGAAGATGCTTAGCGAGTTTTGGACGACGTCATTATATACTTGCTGAGTGTGTGGAAAAATACATCCATATCTCATGATCAGGTCACTGCATACGTAACGTGTTTTATTCTGGACGGAGCGGGACGTCAAGTTTTGGAAATATCGTTCCTTAGGAAATGTACGTGAAAATGCATACATACTGCGCGGACGGGATGGGGACGTGGCGTGAACGGATCGAGAAAAACATCGTACACGTGACCCGTCGACTCCTCAAATAATCGTTGATTTTTTAAATAGAATAAGGATGACATACGAGCACACAGTCCAACTGATGGTAAGTGAATGCTGTGGCCCATTGACAAATATTAAGAATCCTTATCCTCAATTGAGAAGTAAAATGCAGATGCGTTGTCACCATGAGGACTGAGATGGAATGCCTTGTTACTAGTGAATGCGATAGCCGGTTCTCTACACTCACCATACGAAACATAATTTTCTCACGAAAGCTGGTATTCTGTGAGAGCGTGGTCCTACCCACCGATCCATTCGTGCTACAACCACAATATAGCTGCAGTGTGGCTCTACCACGTACAGACAGACACCACCACACAGCATCATAATGTGATATAGTGTAAGACAATCCACTACGCCATATCGTGCCGTGGGTGTCGTAAGAGGCGACGGAGGGAAACAAACTACAAGACGGGCAGCCGCGTCTCCTTGATTACAAGTGAAAATAATAAACAAACCGCGGTTGCCAACCCACCTGCATGGCAACTATGGCAAATATGACGCAAGCCACGGGGGAAGCCTATGTTCAACAGAGTAGTTTTAAAGGCTGTATCGGTAACGATAAACGTCGAAGTGAAAAAAGAAAACCGTAAACTATCATTTAAATTAAAAAAAAAACATGAAGGTCTAGTCTGTTTCCACTAACCTCCATTCACACATAAGGTATTTATTTTAAGGTTCCATTATTTTTGGCTTTCTACCGACTTCAAAAAGTAGGAGGTACTCAATTCGACTATGTTCTTTTTTATGTTTATTACCTCATAACTTTTTTCTGCATGAACCGATTTCGATAATTATTTTTTTATTTGAAAGCTGGTGCTTCACATGTAGCCCCATATGACTGTCCGACCAATAGTTTTTGAATTATTCTTAATAATTTATATTGAATTCGGTTGTAGAATATATTGAATTAGGTATTGAATTAACTTCTTCAGAATAAATGCAGTTTCAATTTGCACATAAGGCACGGAAAGGTTTTTCTACTCGTTATACAATTACATCACAAATTCACAAAACATAGATTTTTATTTGGTACACACATATTTATATAAAACACGTTTACACAATATTGTACATATTTTACCAGATAGCTCACGAAAAAGGTTTTGCGTCAGTGTGTGTTTTTAAATGTCTTTGCAAATCATATTTTCTAATAAATCTATGTTCACAGATATTACACGAAAACGGCTTTTCACCAGTATGTATTTTCATATGAGTTTGGAAATTTCCTTTTGTAATACATCTATATTCACAGATATTACACGAAAAAGGTTTTTCTCCAGTATGTATTTTCATATGAGTTTGCAAATCACTTTTTGTAATACATCTATATTCACAGATATTACACGAAAAAGGTTTTTCACCGGTGTGTATTTTCATATGTCTTTGGAAATTTCCTTTTGTAATACATCTATATTCACAGATATTACACGAAAAAGGTTTTTCTCCAGTATGTATTTTCATATGAGTTTGCAAATCACTTTTTGTAATACATCTATGTTCACAGATATTACACGAAAAAGGTTTTTCACCGGTGTGTATTTTCATATTATGTGCTTGCAAATGACTTTTTCTAATACATCTATATTCACAAATATTACACGAAAAAGGTTTTTCACTGGTGTGTATTTTCAAATGGGTTTGCAAATAACTTTTTGTAATACATCTATATTCACAGATATTACACGAAAAAGGTTTTTCACCGGTGTGTGTTTTCATATGTGTTTGCAAATGTGTCTTTGTAATACATCTATATTCACAAATATTACACGAAAATGGTTTTTCACCGGTGTGTATTTTCAAATGGGTTTGCAAATGAGTTTTTGTAATACATCTATATTCACAGATATTACACGAAAAAGGTTTTTCACCGGTGTGTATTTTCATATGTCTTTGCAAATCAATTTTTCTAATACATCTATATTCACAGATATTACACGAAAAAGGTTTTTCACCGGTGTGTGTTTTCATATGTGTTTGCAAATGTGTCTTTGTAATACATCTATATTCACAAATATTACACGAAAATGGTTTTTCACCGGTGTGTATTTTCAAATGGGTTTGCAAATGAGTTTTTGTAATACATCTATATTCACAGATATTACACGAAAAAGGTTTTTCACCGGTGTGTATTTTCATATGTCTTTGCAAATCAATTTTTCTAATACATCTATATTCACAGATATTACACGAAAAAGGTTTTTCACCGGTGTGTGTTTTCATATGTGTTTGCAAATGTGTCTTTGTAATACATCTATATTCACAAATATTACACGAAAAAGGTTTTTCACCGGTGTGTATTTTCATATGTCTTTGCAAATCAATTTTTCTAATACATCTATATTCACAGATATTACACGAAAAAGGTTTTTCACCGGTGTGTGTTTTCATATGTGTTTGCAAATGTGTCTTTGTAATACATCTATATTCACAAATATTACACGAAAAAGGTTTTTCACCAGTGTGTATTTTCATATGGGTTTGCAAATTACATTTTGTAATAGATGTATATTCACAGATATTACACGAAAAAGGTTTTTCACCAGTGTGTATTTTCATATGTTTTTGCAAATCTCTTTTTCCAATACATTTATATTCACAATTATTACAACAGTACATTTGTTTAGCGACGTGCGCTTTAAGATGTGACAAAATGCAACGTTTTTGAGATGTTTTAAATTCGCAAATATCACAATTAAATATTTCTGTTAGTTGTGGTACTGGAGTTAGTTCTACTTGTGTCCGAACTGCAGTGGTGTCTGAGTTCTTTTGCGTCTTATGACTGTATGAAATGTGTTTGGCGAGAATGTCTTTTGTTGAAAATTTTTTACTACAACCATCACATTCAAAAATGTATTCAGTTGATGTCCCAGATGTCTTTTTCTTAAGTATATTTACACTCTTTTGTTTTATAATTTTCTTTTTCATTATTTTTGCAGGATGCTTTTCTTTTTTATTAATTGGTTGATTATCTTTTTTCACTTTAGGGTTTGATTTAATAGTGGGGCCTTCAAAGTCGAGGTTTTCTTCACGAACATCGTTTATGTTACAATCAGTAGAATTTGATTTAATCTTCTTTTCAGAAGTTTCTGAAAAATTATTTGTCGTAGTTAAACTTATTATTTATTGTAAGTTATTGCATCTTTATTGCAAAATACCTTAAATATACTAAATAATGTTGCTAGATATAAAGTATTTTAGCCAATTACTCCGAATTAAATTTTCTTTTTTGGTGGGAAAGAATGGTTCTTCTGACCATGTTATAATTACATTAATCTAATAATTACTGTTTCGAATTCCACACAGAACTAGTGTTATGCACACAGTACAGTCGAAGTTGGCGTGTAAGTGAGGGATAAGAGAATTCATCGTTATACGTTGTCCCGTGGGTTTCGTAAGAGGCGACTATGGGTTTGCTAGAAAAATCTGATGGCTTCCGACAGGTGGCGGTATAACCACCTCGTTTACTTCAGATGTAAAATATCCAGACCGGCGCCAGGCGACATTGCCAGAGGTGCTCACGTCTGGTTCTGCGATCGTCAGTCCAATGCCAAGCGTGACGCTCAAGGCAAATCCTCCCTACATCGGGAGAGATCCTTCCATGTTCAGCAGAGGAAGTTTACGGGAAGATTAAGATAGAGGAATTATTTGTAGGCCATACAAAGATTGAAAACTAGGCCCGGTAGTTAGGGGGCTAGGAGTTTGCCGTAAAATTTCACAGTGCGCTAGCAACCCAGGTGTGTTCTCCACCGGCACCCATAAAATAGTTAATTTTGTAAGTATGTATGTATGTATTTTATATGTATGTATACATACATACATACACGCCGTTTCCGTACTATCGATCCTAACAGCTTCGACGGAAACCGTATTGAAGGTCACTAATCAGCTTATGCTCTACAAGGTACCGCGTGAGCTGGCAGTTAATAATGGATTCCATTATTTTGGAGAACAAGCAGGTGACGGCGATAGGCCTGTATTTGGATAGGTCCCAGCCTTTATTAGGAATCGTATGCACTAAAGCTGTCTTCCATAAGCTTGGAACGACACCTAAGGAGTACGAGAACATGACATAAACATAAAAGTAACAAGAACATAATTCAACAACTGCATTATAACTTTGTAATCTATATTAATATAATAAAGTGGAAGGGTTTTATCATGAGGAATAGTATAGCATTAGGCTACACCTCTCAGTTAACCTTAAATACTGATTTTTGCTAACCCGTCAAGACAAGCGCTACGCCATTTTATTTTTTACGCGTCAAACATCTAAATAAATAGGCTACGATTCTCGAGAGGTACATTCTGGAGGTAGGCAAAGTGTATCATTTTTGCGATTGGAACATTTGCATCTTGATCACTGAAATGTTCCGAAACACTGATATGTTTCATTTGGATCATCGACTCAAAAGATATAAAAGAAAGAATGTTCCGAATACATTAAGTTGCGTCGCGGGCGTTTATTACTGACTATTCCGTGAAATGTTATGTGGCAACAATGCTGAATAATATAAGTGCTTAGATTATTTATTGTGTACCGTAATAAGATTGTATATAAAATCGATTTTCCTTCATACTTTAACAAAAATGTCACTTTGTCAATTCATTATTTACAAAAATGTTCATTTACATAAAACAGCAATGTCTATGTACACAGAATTTACTCGTAAAGTATCATAACTCTAAACTTTATGATGAAAAGGAAGAAAGTAAAGTCACAATAATCGCTACGCAAAGAAATCCTAAACATAACTCAGTATGTTTTCGTAAACAGGCGCTAATGAATATAAACAATTTGACAAGTACCGCATCAACGTAAAATGACAACTTGTTAATGCAAACGTTACATACAAAAAACGACCGTATAGTATTTGACACATAAGCGCCTTAGTGGTAATTTTTACGTGCATGAATAACGTCAGCGAAAATCCGTACGAGTTGAGTGATACACTTCTTATTTGTTATCTCTATCTGACTTGAGTGGATTATAATTATTTCGCCCGCTCACTCGCCACTCGTGAGTCAATAGTTAAGTTAATCATTGTCTCAGTCTGTCTCTCTCGCTCGTGGCTCAGTCGCCTCGCAAGCGACGCGTCGCGCGAAATGAGCAAAGAGCAAAGTAATGTTTCATTGTTCCAGATACAAATGATACATTTGAAACGTTGTTACTGAACCAATATTTTGTGTCACTTCAGTGATTCGTATCAGTGAGTCGTTTTCGTAAAGAGATACACACGCCTAGTACATTCATTTGAATACGAATCATCAAAGAGATAACATCAAAATGGAGAAAAATTTAATGAGAGCTCTCTCTCTGTTTAAAAAACGTCTACCAAAGACACACAGCGACTTGATGAAACATTAGAGGGACTCTGCTCCTCCATATTCCACAGTTTCACGCTGGGCTAAGGAGTTTAAGCTGGGCAGAACATACACGGAAGATGAACGCCCATTCACATCCCTCACTGAAGATAAAGTGAAAAGAGTCGAAGACGTCGTATTGATAGATCGAAGAGTGACCATCAGGCATATAGCTGACGTCACAGGGATCTCATGTGACAGTGGTCAAAGAAACGTTGCGAACTAATTGCGCGTTGGGTACCGAGAATGTTAACCTACGAGCAAAAAAAAAAATTGTCGACATATCGAGGGTTAATCTCGAAAGGTTCCAAGCAGATCAGATTTTTTTATTACGTTTCGTGACCATGGGCGAGACCTGGATCTACCATTTCGATCCTGAAACCCAACAACAATCAATGGTTTGGAACCGAGCCTCCTCCAGACGCCAAAAAATTCAAAGTGCAAAGGCGGGAAAGGTTATGGCGTCCGTTTTTGAAGGAATAATTATTGTGGAATATTTGGAAAAGGGAGCCATTATTTCCGGCTTATACTCTCGACTATGCAGGCCAAATAAGAAGATTGCAGGAAGCTATCAAAGAAAAAGACGATAAGATGAGATGGAGTGCTGTTTCAACAAGACAACGCTCCGGCTCACAAAGCCGCAGTTGCGATGGCTGCCATTCAAGAAACGGGATTTGAACTGTTTGAACACCCAACCTATTCACCAGATCTAAGTTCCCAATGACTTCTATCTATTTCCTCCACTCAAGGAACACCTTCGAGGCAAGAAATTTGGAGACGATAGCGAAACTTAAGAAAGATTTATTTCTAAGAGAATTCTGGGATTATTACAAAAATGGACTAAATGCGTTGACTTGTTAAAACTATGTGGAAAAATAAATTATTTTTTTAACAATAATCACCGTGTTTAATATTGACTATCAATAATTACTTTTGGATCACTCTTCGTACTCACATCCTAAAAATAAAAAGGCAAGACAAAAAGATTATCAATAGAATCAGACGTTACATTGCGAAAATCCATTATATTAAAAACTACCTGATAACCGGTCGCTTCGCTGGGCGCGCGATATTTTATTGCGGAACCTAGATGTGACTAAAGTAATTAAGTAATTAAAGAACAAAATTTTGTATGTATAGTACATCTCTACAGTACATGTAGTATTACATGTAGTACAATTAGTAGTTAGTTAGTAGTTAGTAGTAAAATTTTGCCTGTATATAAAAAAGGGACCAGGACAGACTCGAATAACTATAGACCTATTTCCTTACTGCAAATTCTTTCAAAAAATTTTGAAAAATTAATAAAGACAAGACTAATTAAACATCTATATGAAAACAACATACTAAATAAACGGCAATTTGCATATCAGACTAATATTAGAACAAATAACGCAATAGAAGTATTATTTGACGATGTTGTGACAAATTTAAATAAGAAGAAAAAGGTAGCAGGCCTCTTTCTAGATTTGAGTTTAGCTTTTGACATGGTGGATCACCAAATTTTAATTAAAAAGTTACAGCATTATGGTGTACAAGGAAAGGTTTGGGAGCTTTTCAAGTCATACTTACGTAACAGATATCAATACGTTGAGATCAAGGATACAAATTATGAAAAAGAGAAAATATTTAAATCAAAACTAAATAAAATTAAAAGAGGTGTTCCCCAAGGTTCAATCTTAGGACCCGTTCTGTTCATAATATTTACAAATGACTTAATTCCATTTATGTACAACTCTATACCAAACACTGAACTTGTAGTATTTGCTGACGATACGAATGCAGTGATAAGTGCACAAAATATTTTTGATCTCAATAACAAAGTTAACTGCGTTTTAGAAGCTTTTGCTCAGTGGTTTAATGCAAATAACCTTAAACTAAACCCTGAAAAAACCAAAGCTATCCTTTTTAAATCTACTACAAGAGCAAGAGACACCTTAGTTATTAAATTAAATGATGAATGTATATCCACTGTAGATTCCGTAAAATTTTTGGGTATCCATATAGATTCTCTTCTTAATTGGAAACAAGAAGTAAATTTTATAGAAAAAAATATATCATCTTCATGTTATGCATTACGAAGCTTAAAAGAGGAGCTAACAATAAAGCAATTAAAAATGGTATATTATGCTCTAGTAGAATCTCGTCTAAGATATAGTATTAAATTTTGGGGAAATAGTTATGATTACAATCTTAAAAAGGCATTTATTATACATTATTTTACAAAAGAGAGCAATAAGAATAATGGTGCGCATACCCCAAAGACAGTCGTGCCGAGAATACATGCGAAACCTAAAAATACTTACTGCACCATGTCTGTACATTCTAGTTCTTCTTACAGACCTTGTTAAAAATTTAGATAGATATGAAACCGCAGAAGAAAGGGTAAAGCGTCATGACACTAGGCGAAAAGATATTGTGAACCTAATACGGCCTAACCTACAAATAATTAAACATTGTGCCAGATATCAAGCGGTCAGACTATTTAATAAATTGCCAAATTATTTAAAATGCATAACAACTGTGATCCAATTTAAAAACAGATTGAGGTCGTATCCTCTGGAAAATAATTTTTATAGTGTGGAAGAATATGTAAATTCTAATTGACTAATGATAAAATATAGTTGAAAAACTGACATATTTCTTTTTATAGTCTTATTAATTTGACATATTTCTGTATTGTAATTTTATATTTTGACATATTTCTTTATTGTAATTATATTATGTCCTATTATTGTATTCTATTATTTTGATGTGGATAATTGATTGAGTATTGCATAAATGATAATGTTATTTTTTAAACCTTATTGAATAACTTGTAATTTCCAACACAATATATTTTGTTATTAATGGAAAATATAATAAATAAAAAGTACAACTACATGATGCAAGAGGGATTGGTGGTGATTTCTTTTTATTTTTTGATACATGTTTTTTAACATAAGTTAATTTACCTTTGTCATTGTCTTCTTTTTTACTTTTTGAACCAAATGCAATTAGTGGCAAGTCGTTTTCCGAATCCATATGTCTATCTTCAAAAGCATCAATCTCCACATCTTGTTTTTCAGCACTCTCTAGAATGAAACACATTCTGACACAATATATAAAATAATTACTGATTTTTTTTTCAAGCGACTAGATCATTACAGTCCATCACAAAGCTTATGGGCCTGAGCCACCCACTTTCATTACCGTACTGCATGTTTCATAAACTAAGTGTAATAAGCTGAGATGGCAATGGGCCGAAGAACTGAACACCGATGGGGAAGAGAGGTTCTCGAGTGGTAGCCTCGTACTGGTAGACGAAGTGTAAGGCAGCCACACACTAGATAGAGTAACAACCTGGTAAGACATGCAGGAAGTCGATGGATGCAGGTGGCTAAGGCCCGTGCTTTGTGGCATTCCTAAAGAAATTGGCAAAGACAGGTTGCTTACCAGTTGTAAGTATATCATTAATTCTGGCTGCATTTATTTAGGGTCAAAATATTTTTAAAATATATTAATGCATAAGTAAAAAAAAAGTCTAAAGCTCATTATTTTACATTTACAATTATTTATTTATTTAAACTAACAACTATCATGACAGGAATAACCTAATGCGACAGTGTAGTTCTTCTCATGCATAACAAAAATGTGGTCATTAACTGTAAAAAATTGTAAACAATCCTACCCTAGTGTATTCACTCAAGGTGCAACAGAATAGATCACTGTCATCAGCCATTCTATTAAGAATGCGTAACGTTTGTGTTAAAAGCGACTTGTCTTACTCAACATTGGTACGTGTCTGGAACATACGGCCTAATCCGCCCCAATATGTCACTATAATATAATTTTGTGTCCATGGGCTACACTAACCACTTGCCATTAGGTAACTTGTAGCTTATTTTATTACAAATGTGTATATCTTACCTTTATTACAAATGTGTATTACAAAATGTGTATATCTTACCTATTTCATGATTCCCATTTTCTACAAATGTGGAATTCTCAATTTCGAAATTCTCTTCCTCAACTTTAACAGATTCAAGGCTAAACATTTCGTTCTTACAATCATTTTCTACATCACACTCTACTGGCCTGATATCTATATGACTAATTGGTGTGAATTGAATCTTATCTCTAGCCTCATGATGATTTGGTATTGACTGAAACCAAATACTTTTGTTAAATAAGAGAAAAAGCCAGCATAATGGTGCCGCATGAGACTCCATACTACCATATCATCCCGCAGATGTCGTAAAAAGGGACAGAGGGAAACTGAAACAGGAGATGGGCAGCAGCATCTTCCTGACAACAACTACAAATAGTAATAAAAACCGGACAAAGTGAGGGTTCCGAATGACCTTACATAATAATGTATATAGTTCATCCATCCCGAGTATAGAGTCTCAACAATTTATCCAATCAGATTCATGAATGCCGTAAATTGAGAAAGATCTATCTTGTTTACTGAGTAATATTACATATAGATAATATTTCATTTATATACAATAGAGTAATATATAACAGCATAAACAGTTAGCTAATTATTTTTGTAAAAATAAGTACTTAACTTACTGTAATTCATAAAATATAGAACATTGCTGTAACGAAAAAGTAAGTTGGATTGAAGGATAAACTTAACTTTGCAGTAGAAAAAACATTCTCCCATATGGCAACGGGAAGTAGCATAGAAGGCATGAGACAGGTAGTGATCATCAAGGTGCCTGCCAAGTGATGATTAAGGCAACTACTTAATTATAATGGTAGTGACCCATCAAGCAGTGAACTTTTATTAATAACAGGTATAATACCGTGGACCATGTAGTGGCGGTGTAAGAATATCCACTAGCCTATATACCTACCCACGGGACGGGTGTCGTAAGAAGCGACAGAGGGAAATAGAAACAGGAGTTGAGAGGCAGCATTTTCCTAACAACTCAGAATAATATAATCTATGGTTACCGACATGCCAAGCGTGGCAAATATGGCAAAACGCCTCCTATTTATTTATTTTATTTATATTCCTATATAAACGGGACTTCTATAGGTTTTAATGGATGGAACGGATAATACCATGGACCCTCCTGCAAGCAACTGCTCCAGAATTGTATTTGACTTAATAGCCTGTTGTTGTAATGTTCTGCAACGAATGAGTCTTGCATGACAGGTGAAACAGATAATTATGGACTCCTCATCCTCGTCCATCTGAAAATATGAAAGTTTGTCATAAATATGAAAAACTACTTAAATATACAAGTTTGTAATAAAATCTATTGGTTACCACAATTCTCTTCATCATCATCAAATTTTTTACAATACTGAAGTGACAAATAAACTTACAATCGACCCAAAGGTAAGTGGCTGCTGCAGCCCACAGGGACCTGCAACGAACTTCAAGCAAAGGCTACAGATGCGATATCACCTCTGAGGACTAAGATGTAATGCTTCACACACTATTAGGCCACTGTCACTTAGTTTCAAATGTAAGTTAATAACAATATACATACATCCCCTAGCAGTTTTAACCTTTTTAATTTATTATCAATTACAGTATGAAGTAAGTTCCAGGTTGGTTTTGTCATCTAACAATTAGATTATTTTATCTCATAAGGATATGGGCAGCAGCATTTTCCTCATAACAAGTCAGACTAATAAAAAAACTGCAGTTGACAACCAGCCTGCTAGCGTGGCAACTATGGTAAATAATAATAATAATACCAGAAATGATACTAAAAATATATAAAACATATTTTCGACCTATTTTAGAATATGCATTCTAAATTATATTGAATTGCTGAAGAAGCTTCAACACAGATATTCAGGTTTGTACATAATTGAAAACATACTATATGAGGAAAGTCTGAAAGATGACAGAGAATGAGGAGACTTGATTGACACATAAAAAAATATACAAACACCATGATATAGAAAATTTCGATAAACTTTATTATTCCAGTACTCAAACAACACATAACTTAGTGGCATCACTTCAAATTGACTAAAGCTGAGTCACCTAATAACTCACCTACTTTAGCTATTGTGTGGTTAAAGTATGGAACAGGCTGCTATCAAAAGTAATATTAGTACAAACCATAAACTAATTGTACAACATGATTTGAAACCAGGATACTGAGTTATATCAACTGTATCAACTGCTGGCTGGCTCAATAATTTCTTACACAAGGATGACAACAAATCGAACTGTCCACCTGATGGTAAGTGCATTCACTTATCATCAGGTGGACTGTTTGATTTGTCGTTCGCTATGGCCTATATACCTTCCCAGTTAAGAATCAAAACGCAGATGCGTTGTCACCCCTGAGACCAAGACTGAATGCCTCACCTCTAGTAAAAAGTGTCTCCAATGCACTACACTCACCATATAAAACAGAGCAGAATTAAGCTGCTATTTAACTCTAGTAATCTGTGAATGTGGTAGCACCCCGGTCTAGCTGAACCATCTTTGATACAACCATAATATAGCTGCAGCATGGCTCTACCACATGTAAAATAATGATAATATGTCATACTGTCATACATAGGCAGAATTTTGGTCACAATGGACACTATTCATCAGTGCAGGACAGGATTATATTGCATGTGTGTTAGCAAGCACATGTGCACATTATTCCCTTCTCAGATTTCTCAGTCTGATAGGAATATGAGAGTGAGGGAATTTCTGTCTGTAAGCACATGTGCACTCTAATCTCCCACTAAATAGTCCATAGAACGGCTTTAAGTGGGTGAAAGAGCAAACTAGGGTGGATATTAATTATTTGACGGAAAATAACAGACACCGCGAATAAATCTATGCAGCAGTGCGGGTCGCGTGGACGGATGCACAAGGTTCCTTTTTATGGCGCAGCCTCGGTAATTTTGAGCCCGCGGTTACTTCAATGATTATACTGATTTTAGTGCGACCCAGGATCCAGGCTAATTGTTGTTTTTCAGGTTCTGGTTGTATTTGTCACTATATATACTATTTATGTTATATACACTATATATGTTATAATGTATTTCTCCAGCAATAACCCCTCTTTAAAGTATTTCTCGACGAGGTACATTTAATTTGCAATGTTAAGAAATATTTTTACAAACTTACAAAACTATTCGTCAATGTTTTGTACAAATTTTCGAGACCAGTCTTCTTTAGTACATACATGCGTACATTATCGCATAAACAGATTCTACAAATTTCACTAAAATAGGCCATTTCTATTTCCAATAGCTTTAATCACAATTCACAAATTATATGCAATACATATGTAAGTAGAATTAATTTTCTGTTTTTCTCATTGATAATTGATATAAGAAAAATAGTTTCTTATATCTATGCAAAACCATAGATAAAGATATATGTAGCAAGCTAAGCTGTGCAAAACTCCCATAGCAAGATTTTTTTTTTGGAGTTTATGGCCTGGCATCTAGACCTTTAGGCCAAGTCTTCAGTATTATTATTCGGTTTATTATAATTTCCCCACTGTATTTTTGATGAATTTATATAGAGGCACGTAATAGGATCTATTTTTTAACATATCACTCAGGTGGCGGGAGGGATCTTGCACTGTCACTTGATTTTGCACTATGTCACTAATTTCACTGACAAGAATCAATCTGTCAAATGAAAAGCACTCACATGTAAATATGAAATGTTCGATATCACCAACAGAATTATTGCAGAAGGTGCAGTAACTGCTCTCCACTATGCCCAATCGATCCAGGTGGGCCGGGACGGTGGAGTGACCAAAGCGCAGTCTATTTATAGTGGTAACAAAGTCCCGACTGGCCATTTTCAGTTTGTTATACCATGGTGCTACAGGTAGTTTTTCTTGAACAGTTCCATACCATTTACCCTTCTGTTCTTGATCTTGTTTCCAAAATTCGACCCATAAGCTATTGACCTGGTTGTCAATAGATTGATAACAGTCGGTCAAAGGTACTTTTACTATGGAGCTAACATCCAACATGTTGGTTCCATCACGTGCAATTTTATCTACTATCTCATTTCCTGTTATGCCCCTATGTGATGGAATCCACATGAAAGAGACCTGTATACCCTTTTTTGCATAACTAAATAACAATTTTTTAATATTATACAAAATATAGTTTTTTTTAAAGTCAAATCTGAGATTAGTTAAACTTTGGACCTTACTTAAACTGTCTGTTAAAATAAAAAAATTATTAAAATTATTTATATGTGCAATCCTCTTCAGGGCCTCGAGGGCCGCATATACCTCTGCAGTGAAAACACTGCATTTAGGGTCCAGAAGAAAACTTTGACCAAACTTGGTGGATCATAAACGGCACTGCGCACAAAGAGCTCACTTTTGCTACCATCTGTATACAAAGTATAGTAGTTATTATTATAATACTTAATAATTCACAATTATTAAAAAAATTTTTGGTAACAATATTGGTCTCAAATATAATACAGGAATATGGGTATGTGTAGCATGTCCACTTTGATTGTTTAATTACATTTTTAAAATCTTCATTCATTTGCTGTACAATGAGAGGCAAAACTGGAAAATAACCTTGTAAAAGCTCACCTCCCGAAGTCTGCTGGACCGAGCATTGTAAAGGAAAAGGTACTATTTTTTTGAGAACATTATCATTACCAGATACCAGCTTTAGTAAATATCTCTCTATTAGCAGAAGTCTTCTAAGACACAGTGGCATTATTTTGGTTTCAACTTCCATAGCTCGTATGGGAGTTGAACACATAGCCCCAGAAATAATTCGCATAGCTTTGTTTTGAATTATGTCTAGTTTTTTTACACAACTACTATTTGAGTAGGCTAAACAACTGTAGTCGAAATGGCTTCTGACTATAGATTTATATAGCATACTTAAAACTTTGGGGTCTGCACCCCAAGTCACACCAGCTAAACATCTTATAATATTTAAGCCCTTAAGAGAGTTAGTTATAATGTGATTGATGTGTAAATTAAAACAAAGTTTGTTATCAATGACAACACCCAAGAATTTATGGTTAGATACAACTGAAATTGGATGATTATTGTAGAGTATGCCATTAGAGGGAAAATCTTTACTAAAAATCATGGCCTTGCTTTTGTTAGGGTTAATCTGTAGAGCCAACTTGTCATTATAATATATGTACAATTGCTCTAAAGCATTATTTATACTATTTACAGCTCTATCTACATTATGGTCTGTACAATATATTACAAGATCATCCGCAAATTGTAAAATATTTACTTACTTACTTACTTACTTATCTTCACGCACAATCCCTGACGGGGTAGCCAGAGAGAACAGATCGCCAAGTGTCACGATCCTTACATATCTCTTTCGCTTCTTTCAGATTCATTATCTTCTTCATGCATGCACGTCTAGGTATCCGAGTACTCTTGACCCTACCCTCTTCGAGCAATTTGCTCACATGGTCTTCGAAAGTTGGTCTCGGTCTACCTCGACACCTTTTAATATTAACTTTCGCGCTATATATTTTCTTCACCATTCGGTCTTCACTCATTCGCTCAACGTGCCCAAACCACCGAAGCACGCCCTTATCCATTTTTGTGATAAGGTCATCTTTCAAACCTGCCATATTGCGAATCTCTTCGTTTCGCTTTCGGTCGGCCATAGTAACGCCGCACATTTTACGAAGAGATCGCATCTCCACTGCATTCAACTTACTTTTATGCTTCTTCTGGCATACCCAGGTTTCGCTGCCATATAACAAAGTCGGTACCAACACTGCGTTATGTATTGCAAGGCGTGCACTCTTCGCTACGCCTTGCCTTTTGACTAACGCAGTCAGGGCACCATTGACTTTGTTCCCGGCAGCGACACGCCTGTCCACATCTAAATCACATCTTCCATCCCGGCTAAAAGCACTCCCCAAGTATACAATTTCATTTACCTGTTCTAGACATTCCTGATTTACCCATATTTCACACTTCGTTCTCTCTTCGTCCCTTTCAAATACCAGAACCTTAGTTTTATTAGCATTCAAACGGAGACCTTTAATTTCACATTCCTCTTTCATACACGTGACTAATGCCTGCAGTTCTGCCTCTGATGGTGCAATAAGCACTGCATCATCAGCATACAGCAGACAATTTACTTTTATGTCACCCAATTTCACACCCAAACAGCTATCTTTCAGCTTTTGTAAACAGCTGTCGAGATACAGTATGAACAGCCAGGAAGACATGACACAACCCTGTTTTACGCCCGTTTGGACGCTAAACATGGGTGACAGGTCATGCCCTACCCGCACACAGGCTTTACAGTCACAGTAAAGAGACTGCACAGCCCTTAGCAATCGGCCATCCACACCATACCCCGGCAACAGTTCCCACATTTTCTTCCTTACAACCTTATCAAATGCTTTCTCAAGATCCACAAAAGCACAGAAAATCTTCTGGTTAACAGCCAGAAGCTTTTCCGTGATCATACGGAGAGAAAACATTTGATCCGTGCATCCTCTTCCAGGTCTAAATCCGCATTGTGCCTCCCATAGAAATCTTTCCGATTTCTCTTGCATCCTACGTGTCAAAACCTTCGAGTAAACTTTACTTGCTAAACTGGTCAAGCTGATCGCCCAATAGCACCCGCAGTCAAAATGTGAACCTTTACCTTTATATAAAGGCACAATGACTGCGCATCGCCAATCATCCGGGACATCCCCCGTCCGCCAGCACAAATTGCACAGCAGATGAAAGCTGTCCCAGACGCGAGGCCCACCATACTTGACCATTTCAGCAGTAACTCTGTCTAGTCCCGCAGCCTTACCACATTTCAAACTTCGAATCGCACGTTCAATCTCTTTCATACTGATGACCTCAGTGTCATCGAGGTCCGGGTCTGGCGTGCCAGTCACGGCGTCATCCCCGGATCCCTCACTAAGATCATCACACGCATACATTTCTCTATAAAATTCGCTCCATCGCTGCATGACGTCCGATTTTTCTGAGAGGACGTCATTAGTTCTCGAAAGCACTTTGTTCATTCTTAAGGCCGTCGCACCACTTCGGGTCCTTCCAACTTCTTTCCAGAAGAGTTTGGAGTTCTCCTTAAAGTTGTGCGACAACCTTTCATCCGCTTCCATTCTACACCTTTCACGCACTTCCTCAATCAATGCTTTCGTGTGAACTTTCTGCAGCTTATATCTTTCTTTCATCTTCTCTCTCATATCCTTATCATTACTAGAGGCCAAGTAGTCTAACCATGCTTTCTTCTTCTTCTTTACAGCTTCTTTCACTTCATCATTCCACCATGCATCTCTTCTTTTACTACTGCCTTTTTTTATTGTTCCACACACTTCTTCCGCTTCACTTACCATTCCATCCCTAAGGTTCTGCCATGTTCTTTCTACACATTCGTTTCTGCCATCGATGGTGTCAAGCTTTTCGGCTACCCTCGCATGATATTTGTCCCTAGTATCCGCTTCCTGAAGCTTCCAGCTTCGGATGCGACAGACCGACTGTGGTTCTGTCACTGTCGTCCGGTAGCGCCAACCCGCGAACAGACCCCTAAATCTAGTAATCACTAGATAGTGATCCGTTCCCAGGTCAGCACCCCTGAACACTCGCGTATCCATAACCTGTTTTCGCAGTCGGTCATCCACCAGGAACAAATCGATCATACTTCTCTCATTCTTTCTTTCTCTAGTATACATATGGATTTTCTTGTGATTAAACATAGTGTTTGTCACAAGAAGACCCTTTTCCTTGCATACCGCCAGTATAAGCTTGCCAGCATCATTAACCCTTTTATCGCCAAACTTTCCAAGTACCGACTCGTACCCTGGTCGAGCGGTACCAACCCACCCATTCAAATCACCACATACAACAATCCTTTCGTTTCCCCTAGCCAAATCTAGAACTTCTCTTACATTCTCCCAAAACTCCTCCAGCTCAGCCCTGGACGACGAAGCCACCGGCGCATAAACAGCCAAAAGGAATAACTTCGTCAGTCCCAATTTAAAGCGAACCCAGAGAAGTCTTGAGTTCACAAACTTATATTCAGTCATAACATCGACCAACCGAGAAGACAGCAGCACCCCCACTCCCTGGCAGGCGTTCTCGCTCTCCGGGACTCCGGACCATAGAGCAAACGCCCCGCCAGGGAGCTCTTCAGTACCACTGCCCTTCCGTTTGGTCTCCGACATACACACGACATCTAATTCTCTTTCTTTCATTATTTCGATCAACTCATTCGTCTTATCTCTCATGCCTCCTCTAACATTCCACGTGCCAACTCTGCACTCCGTCCTCCACCTTCCGCCGTGTCGGGCTGTGCGTGACAGGTGGCGGTCCCCATCGCCGCTTTGCGCGCTGCATTCCACACCAACGGGGAC